TCCCATATCTACAAAAAATATAAAAATTAGCCAGGCATGATAGTGTTGATTGTAGTCCTAGTCCCAGCTACTAGGGAGGCTGAGGTGGGAGAATCACCTAAGTCCCAGAGGTCAAGGCTTCAGTGTAATAGCACCACTGTATTCCAGCCTGGGTGACAGAATGAGAACCTGTCTCAAAAAAACAAAAAAACAAAAACACAAAAAAACTAGTGGTGATGTTGTCCTAGTTTGTTTTCTTCTTCTTCTTTTTTTTTTTTGAAATGGAGTCTTGCTCTATCGCCCAGGCTGGAGTGCAGTGGCATGATCTCAGTTCACTACAACCTCCGCTTCCTGAGTTCATGTGATTCTTTTGCTTCAGCCTCTTGAGTAGCTGGATTCCAGGTGTGTGCCACCAGGCCCAGCTAATTTTTGTGCTTTTAGTAGAATCGGGGTTTCACCGTGATGGTTAGGCTGGTCTCGAACTCCTGACCTCAGGTGATCCTCCCGCTTCAGCCTCCCAAAGCGCTGGGATTACAGGCATGAGCCACCATGCCTGGCTGTTTTCTGTTGCTATAACAGAGTACCACAGACTAAGTAATTTATAAAGAAAAGAGATTTATTTCGTTCATAGTTCTGGAGGCTGGGAAATGGGCTTTCCATCACATCCGACCAGGCCTTCTTGCTGCATCATAACATGTTAGAAGGCATCACATGGAAAAAGCTCGAGAAAGAGAGAGAGGGAGGGGGCCAAACTTACCTTTTTTTTTTTCTTGAGACTGAGTCTCTCCCTGTCGCCCAGGCTGGAGTGTGGTGGCAGGATCTTGGCTTACTGCAACTTCTGCCTCTTGGGTTCAAGGAATTCTCATGTCTTAGCCTCCCGAGTAGCTGGGACTACAGGCATGCACCACCAAGCCCGGCTAATTTTTGTATTTTTAGTAGAGGCTGGGTTTTGCCAGGCTGGTCTCAAACTCCTGACCTTGGGTGATCCGCCAGCCTCGGCCTCCCAAAGTGCTGGGATTTTACAGGCATGAGCCACCATGCCAGGCCAACTTATCCTTTTTATCAGGAGCCCACTCCCACCATAACTAACCCATTCTTCCCCACTATAAGAGCATTAATCTATCCAGAGCCCTCCTGACCTAATTACCTCTTAAATGGCCCATTTCTCAACACTGTTACAATGGCAATTAAATATCAACGTGAGTTTTGGAGGGGACATTCAAACTATAGAGGATGTTGATCACTTTTTTTTCCAAGTATTTTGCCTTTTGTTTCTGTGAAGAGATAGTGTTTTTATTGTTGAGTTTAAAAAAAATATAATGAATTTGGCTTTTTACCTTGTGTCATGTCTGAGTAAACAGTCCACTTTTTCCATTACTGCCAAGTTCCTTTGTATCTGTTTTGGATTTATCTCTCACGAATTTACGTAAACTCTGAACCTATAGGATTTTTCTGTTCTTCAAGCTTGTAGAAGTTTTCCCTTGCGCTACCTTTTAGAGCATGGGAAACAGTTCCACAGTCAAGTCTGGTTACTTTTTCTTTCGGCATTTTCCCATCAGGCTTTACATTCCCAGGCTTTTCTGTTGGTTTCCCTGAGGAGTATCTTTCACCCCAAATTCTACTTGCAGAGGCTGGAAGTACATGAAATACTTACTGTGATTTGTAGAACTGGATCTCAAAATTAAGGTGCCTACATATTGAACATATATAGAAGATAATATTGGAGACTGGGGATTAGTTTATTTCTCCATCCTTAAGCCAAATGGTGGTGTTTTACCCTTGAGCTGTGCCTAAGTGGTTGCCAGTCTTTTCCACATGGTCTTGCTATTGACTGCTTTCCACTGCTTCCACTTCAGTGTGCGCCAGGGAAGGAAACGAGACAGGAGGAGAATTAGATTGAGATTTAAATCCCAATGTTATAATTTACCTGCTTAATAATCTTGGACAAATAATATGGCCCCAATGGGCCTTTGTTACTTCTTAGAATAGATGGGAGGATTAAGTGGGATCTCATGATCTGCCTCACTGGCTTGGGATGTAAAGTTGGTCATGCTTTTAAAAATTTTCTGCTTCATCATTTGAACTTCTACTTGCCAACAAGGGCAAGACGCTTGTGATCCTGTAGTGAAATCTTCTTTACAAATTGACCAAGAACCCTAAGTGCTTACTCTTCCCAAGGAAATCCCCTTCCCATCTCCAGCTGGGAGAAACTTGGAAAAGCCTGACCAGCCCACTGGTAGGCCCTGGGATCACTGCTGTTGCTTCTGTAGGGACTTTATGACGCATTGGCCCCATCCAGGCCAGTGGGCCTTTACCCATTGCCACCATGTCCCTTCCAGTCCAGTCCTCACACAACATGGCGGTGTCCAAGCCTGACCTCTCAAGATGACTTCTCTTCAGGTCACATCCATACTTAGTCATTGTGTCCTGTGGCATCTGTCCAGGGTGACAGGACACAGAGGAACCTGTCATCAGGCAAGAAACCACTTTCTTTCTGGTGGGTATTAGGACCAGGCGACCGCAGTTGGAAACAGCCTAATTCCCTTGAGAGATTCTGAAAACACTATATTTTAAAAGGGAAGTGGCCAAGGCCACCTTTCTCCCTCCCGCAGGAGGCTCCTTAAGGCTTCTATGCATATTTAGCCCCCTCCCCTCTGTCAGCACTGAGTACCCGGCAAATCACAGAAGTTCCTGTCGCACCATCCTCATCAGGAATGCGGGTGCTTATACAAAACTTAAATTTGAGATTACAGTAGTTTGGGAGGCCAAAGCGGGTGGATCATGAGGTCAGGAGTTTGAGATCAGTCTGGCCAACATAATGAAACCCCGTCTCCACTAAAAATTCAAAAAATTAGCCAGGTGTTGTGGTAATCCCAACTACTCGGGAGGCTGAGGCAGGAGAATCTCGTGCACCCAGGAGGCAGAGGTTGCAGTGAGCTGAGATCATGCCATTGCACTCTTGCCCGGGCGACAGTGAGAGACTCCACCTCAAAAAGAAAAAAAAAAAAACAACCCACAAAAAAACCCAACTAAAATCTGTATAACTAAAATGAGCCACTCAAGTGACTCTTCCGGGGAACAAAGAAGGTTGGCTAAGGGGCTTTTGGACATTATCTAGGCAGACACTCTGACACCTTCTCTTGCTAAATAAGTAAATAAAGTTCTCCTTCACCAAACATAGCCACATTTGTGTAAAGCACCGAGCCCACCTGTATTAGTCTGTTTTCATGCTGCTAATAAAGACATACCCAAGACTGGGTAATTTTTAAAGGAAGGAGGTTTAATTGACTCACAGTTCCACATGGTTGGGAGACCTCACAATCATGGTGGAGGGCAAAAGGGCACCAAGACACGTCCTTCTCACACGGTGGCAGGCAGGGCAAGAGCGTGTGCGGGGGAACTCCCCTTTATCAAACCATCAGAACTTGTGAGACATGGGAAAAACCTGCCCCTACGATGCAATCACCTCTCACCAGGTTCCTTCCATGACATGTGGGAATTATGGGAGCTACAATTCAATATGAGATGTGGGTGCAGGGGGGACACAGCTAAACTATATTACCACCTCTGTCACCCCGAGAAGTTCTCAGAAAATGTTAGCTGTCTCCCTCCGCCCTTCCTCCTCACCCTGATTATACCTCTGCATCATTCTAGCTGGGAACACCTTGCTTTCCCATTTCTCAGTGTCCATTCTCTGGAAGGCTCTGTGTAAATATGCCCTGTACTGACCCTTTATATACAACTTCCAGGGAGGCTGGATGGTCAGAGCTGCTTTCAGGGTTTGTTTGCCAAAGGCAGTTTTTTTCCTTTCTTTCTTTCTTTCTTTCTTGATAGAGTCTGGCTCTGTTGCCAGTCTGGAGTGGAGTGGCATGATCTCGGCTCACTGCAACCTCCACCTCCCAGTTCAAGCGATTCTCCCGCATCAGCCTCCCGAGTATCTGGGACTACAGGTGTGCACCACCACACCCAGCTAATTTTTGTATTTTTAGTAGAAATGGGATTTCATCATGTTGGCCAGGCTGGTCTTGATCTCTTGACCTCATGATCTGCCTGCCTCGGCCTCCCAAACTGCTGAGATTAAAGGCGTGAGCTACCATGTCTGGCTATTCTTTCTTCAAATAGTTAGAATTTACTTCACATTTGAATCCAACTTGTATTTTGATACAGTCAGCATGTCTTGAGCATTCTGTCATGGAAAAGAATTTGCTTATCCAAGAATAAACAATGCATAGCTAGTATCCCTCTTGAGACAGGTAGAGGTGTTTATGAAGTGTGCCTTGTTACTAGCCTGCGCCCCACAAGTAAACTTTCTACTGTGAGAAAGGGTGTGGCGCCTGCTTTTTTGGAGGTTTAGTTTCACAGAACAATACAGTCCTTGAGTTTTGCCAGCAGTGCCTGATTAGAACGCACAGAGGTTCCCGGACACTGTGGTCAGAGGCTGTCTGCAGAGCCCCTTCTCCATTCCAGACAATGCTCTTTACTACATCCCCTTGCAGGATTCCCAGATGTCTCTAGAGGGGGCCGGGTATGTATCTCAAAGTAGACTCTCATCTCCAAAAGCAAATGACAGCTCCCTTGAATTATGTTGGGTGAAAGAATTGGTTTTCACATGTTTCATGAGCCATAATTAGGTGCCTAATACCATATTATTCTTGCAGGTATTTAATTACTGACTTTAGATACAAATTCTAATAGAAATAAAAAGAAGAAAAACTGAGACAAATGCTGAAGCTCTCTTGAAATTATTCATAGTCCCTCCTGATTGTCCTTTGCAGGCTTTTTTTTTTTTTCTCTCTAATATTTCCAACAGAAATGCTTTGCTAATGCTATGAGGTGCGGCTGTGGCTTTGTTGTTTTTTCCGGAGTTAGCCTTTCTTTCTATGCATCCTGGCTCTTTGAAATCCCAACTGAATTTGGAGAAATTATTTCTTGGCATCCAACCTCCTTTCCTGGAACACAATGTGATGCTGACGACACAGCCCGGTCACTCCACTTGACAACAAGTTTGTTTGTCTCATTTCACATACATATTCAGTGGTGAGTAAGAACAGGAGTAGAAAGCCTTACTTACCACAGTTTATTATATGTTTCATGCCCGTGATGATGACTTTTGTAATGCCACTTGTGAAAAAATTGATCAGATTAGGATGAATCACCTCGCTGGGACCAACAGTTATTGGAATGATTCTCCACGTGTGACTTTGTTGCACTCTTACAAAATGTGGCAGGATAGACCTGCCCAGCCATCGTGCCGATGTTTATTTGTAATGCTGCCTTAAGGAGATGAGGAGATGAGAGCCAATTGTTCCAGCAGCTCAGCCTGCCCTGCCAACACTTCAGAGGAGGAGCTGCCGGTGGGACTGGAGGTACATGGGAACTTGGAACTGGTTTTCACAGTGGTGTCCACCGTGATGATGGGGCTGCTCATGTTCTCTTTGGGATGCTCCGTGGAGTTCCGGAAGCTGTGGTCACACATCAGGAGACCCTGGGGCATTGCTGTGGGACTGCTCTGCCAGTTTGGGCTCATGCCTTTTACAGCCTATCTCCTGGCCATCAGCTTCTCTCTGAAGCCAGTCCAAGCTATTGCTGTTCTCATCATGGGCTGCTGCCCAGGGGGAACCATCTCTAACATTTTCACCTTCTGGGTTGATGGAGATATGGATCTCAGGTAAGTGACCCCAGGGAAGCTCAGCAGTCTGCCTCTCACCTGTCTAGGGGGAATAACTGACACTCTTGTGTTAAACAGGCTTCCAATCTTTCCGTAGAGATTCTAGTGGGAAATGTTGCAAATATCGTGGAGACTTGTTCAGCCGTGGGCAGGCTTTCGGTGCTCAAAATTTACTTTGCTGGTCATCCTTTACTTTATTGGCTACTGTTCTGAGCAGTGGAATACCTTTCCTATGTGATAGTGGAGGCAGGTCTCCACCTCACCCAGTGGCCCTTCCTAAGCTTGAGCCCATTCTTATCTACACTGGCCTCTTTAACAACTCCCAGGCCTTAAGCCAAGAATCCCAAGAATTTCACCATAGTGGTTTGGTAGCAGCCATTGTGGTGGCATAGTCAGAACGAGACCTCTGTAACTCCAGTCAGTGTTGCCTGAGCACCTGCTTTAGGAAAGAAGTACTTTGGAGGACTGGATGGGGAGCTTTAGGGGTGGCTGGTAGCCATATCCAGCTTTAAGCGCTGGGATGGCCTGTTGATTTGACTTCAGGAGCAACCGTGAAGGCTCCCAGGACTAAAATTGTTCTTTCTTGTTGCTTTGCAGATGGTTAACATTCATCACTAGGTTTGCATTCCTTCCCTTTAAGCCAGCGACCTTATTCACAATTATGGTGTAGATAAATACCCCTGGGAGACATTAAGCCTTGTCCCTTATTTACACTTTAATGAGGGTGAATTAGTCACACGCTTTTCTGGGTTACATGTTTTGATGGGGGAAAAAAGAGCATTTGAGGAAAGAGTAGAGGGGTCAGCACTGGAAAAAGGGCTAAAAACAATGGTCTCTCGAGACTCTTTGCTTACTTAGGAACATCCTGTTTCACCTCCTGGCCTGGGGAAGAACTGCTTATAAATTTAAATCTTTGTCTCATGTGTATGTCATTTAGTTGAGATTTGCTCTACCATGAATGAATGAATAAGGGGTAATGACTGAGCTGGGAGTTGACATCAGTGAGAGTCAGCTGTAGGTATGGGTTTCTAGTTTCCTGTATGTGCTGAATGTTTAGTGTATGGAACATGTTTCACCTATAGATTTTTTTTGTACACCTATAGATTTTGATGGGCTCATATCATGTAGAATAGGAACTAACTTTCCTATGGCAGTGTCTTTCAGTTACCCACTTATGAGAGATTTGGAAAAAAAAAGAACTTGATGAAGTTTGTGTTTTACCATCAAGCCACTAATATGGATTGCTAATTCAAATTCAATAAAGTTGATTATTTAACTGGGAAATGAGAGTTATTCTTTGCATGAAGTTTTTAAATCAGAGATAAATTCCAGGACCCAAAAGTTTTTGGAAAGAAAAAGGAAACTACTATTTATTAAGTACCTGATAAGCATGGGATGGATGCTTTCATACTTATTTTCTTCTTCACGGTCATAATGACCTTGTAAGTGACCTTTTATTTTTCTGCATTTTACAGCTGAGAAAATTGTGATTCAGATTGGTTAAGTAGCTTGCCAAATGCTACAAACCAGTATGGTGGGACTCAGATTTGAATTCACATCTGTTTTACATCAGTCTTAAGTTTAGGCGCATTTCCCCATTACATTTAGCAACACAACTAAATCTTCTGTTTTGAGTAGGGTCATAAATCTTCAGTATTCTCAAACCCTTCTGGGAAATAGAACACTTATTATCTTAATCTCTTATTAGTCAATTAGTTGTAATAAAAACACCAATGAATTGAATAGTAAATTTATGAAAGATAAAGCTAATTTTCTTTTCTTTTTTTTTGAGATAGAGTCTCTCTCTGTTACCACGCTGGAGTGCAGTGGTACGATCTCGGCTCACTGCAACCTCCGCCTCCCAGGTTCAAATGGTTCTCTTGCCTCACCCTCCTGAGTAGCTGGGACTACAGGCATGCGCCACCACACCCAGCTAATTTTTGCATTTTTAGTAGAGACAGAGTTTCACCATGTTGGCCAGGCTGGTCTTGAACTCCTGACCTTGTGATCTGCCCACCTTGGCCTCCCAAAGTGTTGGGATTGCCGACGTGAGCCACTGACCTGGCGCTAATTTTATTTTCTTTTGCCAACTCTATCTTTAATTCACCTTTGACTTAGATCAAATTATTTAACCTGTCCAGGCCTTATCTCATCACTGGCAAAATGGGGTTAAATTTGTTTCTCACAAGACTATATACAGGCATTGATTGACTTACGACCTATGCAACTTACGACCATTCGACTTTACGACCACAATCGCTAGCCACAACTGCTCCGCATCTGGCAGCGCAAACGTTGCCCAGCTGGGCATACGACAGTGCGGACCAGCTTCCGGCAGCACTACCATCTCCGCATGCACCATTTCAACTGTACATATAGCCTACTCAACTTACGACCAAATCGTGTTACGACCGGTCTGCCGGTCCCAATCATGGTCGTAAGTTGAGCACTAGCTGTATATAAATACACACGCACACACACACACACACGGGGCAGAGTTTTGCTGTTGTCACGCAGGCTGGAGTGCAATGGCACAATCTAGGCTCATTGCAATTTCTGCTTCCTGGGTTCAAGCGAGTCTCCTGCCTCAGCCTCCAGAGTGGCTGGGATTACAGGTGCCTACCACCACGCCAGGCTAATTTTTGTATTTTTAGTAGAGATGGAGTTTCACCATGTTGGCCAGGCTGTTCTCGAACTGCTGACCTCAGGTGATCTGCTCGCCTCGGCCTCCCAAAGTGCTGGGATTATATGCATGAGCTACCACGATCTGCTGACACAAGACTATATTTTATGGAGGAAATATTTACTTGTGTGTGTGTGTGTTCAGGATGTCAGGCACATAGTAGTTGTATAATAAATATTAGCTACTTTTCCTTTTTTCTTTCTAAATTTTGATTTTGTGTTTCACCAACAAAACAAAACAAAAATCAAAAACGAAATATTAGATTTTTAAAAGCATATAGGTACAAAAGGTATAAAATCAATTTTCACTAGAAACTCAAATAGGAGAAAATCCAGTACAGTGTGAAACAATATCCAAGTAATTACATTTCTTCACAATTGATTACGAACAAAATCAGTTTTAAGCAAAACTCAGTGGATCGTCATTGATATGAGTTCTATCTGCTTTTAATGCTGGATACAATCCAAGAGCATTTAGTACAACATCTTCATTTTACACGTGAGGAAGTTGAGATTTAGCTCCCTGCAGATGACCCCGAATGTGTTTCTTATGCCTTCACTCGGTGCTCCATGCAGGGCACTTGCAGGTCTCCATGTGTTCACCCCACACAGGCATTTCAGAATCCATTGGTTTGAACCGGTTTGTGCATTCTGCATGTGAGAGGATTGATGACACCCATCCTCTTGCAGTTGCCTGGGCTTGTCATCTTAGTCTTGCCCTGTGACTATCCTCATTCTCACCGTGGCCGCTCAATGCCCTGCCAAGCCCCGCAGCCCCTCCTCTTGCTGTGTTGCTCACTGTTCTTGCTTCCTGTTGGTCTCCACTAACTTCTTCAGGCCAGGCCCTCACAATTTCTTTCTCGGCTAATTGTATTTTCACAACAATGAAAGTGCTGCTGTCTGCTTTAGTCTCTCCATTATGGCTTTGCAGTAAGTGGATAAGGCAGGCTCTGATACCAATTGCCTACATTCAAATCCTGACCTTGGGCCTCTTCTCTGTAACTGGAGATTATAACATTTCCCTCACGGTACTGTGAAGAGAAAATGAACATGTTATATGTAAAAAGGGCTCTCACCACCTGCTAAATCAGTAGAAACTACTCAGCCAGTCTACTTTACTTCTCCAAGTCCTTTTGTCCTGCTGGCCGCCTTAAGAACAATGGTTTCTAGTCAAAATGGGCTTCTCTGAGTTCTCTGAGCATACCCCACACCCTTCCAGCTTTCTTTTGCCCATGTTGTTCCCACAGCCTTCAGTGCCACTGGCCTTATTCTGTCTCCTCCAGCCATGATGTTGTCCTTCCTTACAGTTATTCTAGAAAGCAGTTGGCTGATATGTATGAAGAGCCTTAAAAATGATCCTGCTCTGGGCTAAGTTTGGCTGATTGTGGCTGGGTTCACTTACATGTTTGGGAGCTGGTTAAATGTAGACTGGTCTTGGGTGGTGATATGGTTTGGCTCTGTGTCCCCACTCAGATTTCATCTTGAATTGTAATTCCCACATGTCGAAGGAGGGGCCTGTAATCCCTGAGTGTCAAGGGAGGGAGGTGATCGGATCATCGAGTTGGTGTCCCCCATGCTGTTCTCGTGATAGTGAATGAGTTCTAACGAAAGCTGATGGTTTTATAAGTGTTTGGAAATTCCCCCTTCGTTCTCTCTCTTGCTGCCTTGTGAAGAAGGTATTTGCTTCCCCTTTACCTTTTGCCATGATTGTAAGTTTCCTGAGGCCTCCCCAGCCATGTGGAACTGTGAGTCCATTAACTCTCTTTCCTTTATAAATTACCCAGTCTTGGGTATTTCTTTACAGAGGTGTGAAAATGGACTAATTCAGGTGGCTTCAACCGGGACAACTGGACTCTCTTACTACATGATCTCTCAGTTTCTAGTAGACTAGCCTAGACCTAATCACATGGCTGCAGCAGGGTTCTCAGAAAGGAAAAGCAGAAAAAGTCTTTTGAAGCATTGGCTTGAAACCAGATCCTCAGCCTTCTACCACATTGCATTGGCCAATGTAGACTGCAAGGCCAGTCTAGCTTCATGGATTGGGAAAGTAGATTTTGCCTCCTGATGGGCTGAGCTGCCAAGTCACAATACAGTGTACATGGATAAGAGAGGGGTGAAGAATGGGGGGTATTTTTCCTCCCAGTATATTCTACTAGAGATAAACAGAAGTCCTACCTTTAAGAGTAGGACATGAAAATTATGATCTGGCAGTGCGGTGTCGTAGTTAAGTGCTCTGGAAACAGCAAGCAGACCAGTCACCTACTGACTGGATCATTTTGGCAGATTAAGCACATTTTTTATGCTTTAGTTTCCTCACT